ACAAAAATTAGCTGGGCTGTCTGTCATCCAGCTATTCAGGAGGCTAAGGCACAAGAATCACTTGAACCTGGGAGGCAGAGGTTGCAGTTGAGCCAAGATCGAGCCACTGCACTCCAGCCTGGGCAGCAGAGTGAGACTGTCTCAGGAAAAAAAAAAGAAAGAAAGAAAATTGTATTACAAGCATTTTTCCGTGCCAGTTAGAGTCTTTATGGCCATCCTTAAGTAGCATTAATTCCCTGTGTTGATGTCGCTGGTTCTCCTCACTATTTTCCTTTTCCACTTCCCTGTGTAAGTAGCGCACCTTTACACCTTCACTAATTCCCGGGCACAAAATAGAAGTGGCTTCATAGTTTCAGAGGGTGGTAGCATGTACGGCATGAGTGCCCTCAGCACTCATGGTAGAAGCGCTGGAGCACCTGTCAAGCCCGGGGAGATGAGGCCTCACCAGCAGAAGGAGGTGCCACGGAAGACCAGTGCACTGTGTTACCGGCATTTTCACAGCAGGACATGAGAAGGGTGTTCATCTCAGTTTCTCTTCTGAGAATTTAGCCCTTTTTAAAAAATCTCTGCTAACTTGATAGATGAAAAATAGTATTTTATTTAGTCTGCATTTCTTTGTATTTCACATGCGTGTTGCCTTTTTTGTAAATTCTAGTCTTGTTTTTGTTCATTTACCTTTTGGGATCTTAATTTCCTTAGGAATATTTGAGATTTTTAGTATGTAAATAATAATCATGTGTCATTCTGTTACAGATATACTTCCCATTGTTGCTCTTACCTTTGTATTAACACTAAGATGCCCTGAGTCTTTAGGAGGCTGTATTTTTATTTCACTGGTGATTATCAGAGGCAGTAGTTATATCTACTCGCTCACTGTTATTTCTTCCATAGCATTTCTTAGCCCTAGAAAGTCCTTTCTCATTTCAAAGGCAAATTTCAAATTTGCCTTTGTCCCCTGTATCTAGTTTTCTTCCTCTGATAAAATGTATATAACATAAAGCTTACCATTTTAATAAGTGCATAGTCCAGTGGCGTTACATCACACTGGTGTGCAGCCATCACCACTGTCATCTCCAGAGCGGCTCCATCTTCCTCATCTGAATCTCTGTCCCTATTGAACCCTGAGTCCTGTACCCCAGCTGAGCCCGGCATCCCCTTCTGCCTGCTCTCCTCCAGTATCGGTCTTCCATGTCAACTCTTTCTGCTGGTGAGGCCTCATTTTCCTGGGCTTGGCAGGTGCTCCAGCGCTTCTACCATGAGTGCTGAGGGCAGCAGCTGAGCATGGTCTGTGCATTGAGTGAGGTCACTTCTCTGACACTCATAGCTTGTCCTATGTTGGCCTCAGTCTTCCTAATATGTTTAATGGGGGAATCATGCTGGCCTCAGGGCATGTCGTGGGTTACATGAAGCCCTCAACAAAACACACCTCTTCCTTCCAGGGAAGGCCTCATCAGTGTGCCATGGAGGAATGACTTTCTTGAACCGATGTGGAAGGGAAATGGTCCTATTCACTCAGTGTTATTTTTCCTTTAGTTCATGATTGTATGGTTTTGGTTTCAGGGATTAGAAAATGAGTATCAGGAAGAAGGGCAGCTTCTGGGACAGTTCACCTATGACCAGGATGGCGAGTCGCTCCAGATGTTCCAGGCCTTGGTAAGAACCAGGGCTTGTATTGCCCCGGGGTCCCTAAGTCCCACAGCCTCTGGCGCCAGCAGGGCCTGGCCAGCATCGACAGACTGGGAAGCAGTGTGAAAACCAGCCTCTGAAAAACATGAACCTGCGCTGCTTGGCTCTGCATTGGTGAGCCGTTCCATGGGCTAACACTGAGTTCTGTTTTAACCTGCGCCTTCATGCCCTGTAATTACTTACAAGGATCACATAAAAAAAGTTAATTTCCATCTTAGCTCCTTCCAGTCAGACATCGTATTTGGGGAAGTCATTGGGCTTGGGGTTATTAACAGAAAATACATGTGTGTTTCTTTTCTCCTTGATTTCAGAAAAGACCCGATGACACAGCTTTCCAAATAGTGGAACTTAGGATTTTTTCTAACTGGGGCCATCCTGAGTACACCTGTCTATATCGGTTCAGAGTTCATGGCAAGCCTGTCAAGTGAAGACACTACACATTATTTTTGTACATTTTTGTATATACTGGGATAGCCTGAAACACTGGACTCCTTCATGGATGAGAGCATATACAATGATGGGACCGTGTCACCCCTTAAATAAACGTGGCTGCCAGCCAGAGGACGTGAGCATGTGAAGGGTGCCCTGACACCACATTGGGTGCTCCCTGACTCCACAGGTGCAGAGGGATTGCAGCAGTGGAAGCGTGTTGAACACGTGGCTCTCAGACATGCCTTGTTTTGAATGGGAAGCTCTTTGTATTTGCATTTCCTTGACATCAGGAGCAAAGCAGATGAAGCTGAGTGTCTGGCATGTTCTTGACACTTTGGTTTTCCGCCTTGCACTGGCTCTTCTAAAGGACTTTTGGAGGGCAGATATATTTAATCTGTTAAATCCAACACACATTTCTTTCAGGGAGAAACAATGTCACCAAATTTTCAGAGTTCTAAACTCCTTTCCTTCAAACCAGGATTTTCCTTTATTCAGCACCAGTAGGTACTAAGTCTCCAGATGGGGAAATGACTAAAATGTGTTTTTCTGCTTTGTTTCTGAGAAAGGTTTCCAGTCAGGACTCGCCGTACCAATAGCCATGGAGGAATATAGGAGGGTTTCGTTCTTGTAGGCTGAAGTGAGTCTGACTTGAAAGGGGCTGGTTTGGATCTAAGCAGACACCCAAATGGGGGTTCTCCAGTCTCAGTGAGGCTTTTCCTGTGAGGATTCACAGTGGGTGTCTTCAGGGCTTGTTTTAAGTTTTGCTGAATAGGGAGCACCGAGATGCCCTGAGCCTTTCTCTTTCACTGGTGGTGATCAGAGTCACGAAACCGTTACATTTCAGGATGATCGTTTTTCCTTCAGCAGCACTTCTTACTGGCTCTGGCTGGAATTTGCCTTTTATCACAACTGTCACCATTCTCACATGATTCTTGTGAGACTCTTTTTGGTTATAATATTTAATATTTAGACTATTTTACTGAGCAGACTTTATAAATGAGATACCTGCAAGGCGCTTAAAGTGTTACAGACGTCTTAAGAATTATTTAAGTTTTGTTGGGTTAAGACAGTTTTCAATGTACCATAAATGTTGTTTTTTCAGAAAAAGACAAAACGATGGTGCTGACTGGCTTTCTGTATATTGCACAACAGTCCTCAAATACATGAAACTATTAATACATCAAGCAACGTTTTTTTCACTCTCCTTAGAATTGCAACTATGCAGTTAAGGTGGATAAAATGTACAGATGTTTCATATATCACAGGTTACATATATAAATCAAAATTTCCTATATAAAACTCGTTTGGGATTTGGGGTGGAAATATTTTGAATATTAATTTATTTTTAAAGATGCAAGATAGGACTTTGTGCAATGTATTTTTGTAAATGCTTTTCAAAATATCTGTCTGGTAGTGCTGCTTCTGCTGCCACCAAATTGATAAGATGCTATTAAGAGGTTTAAATAAAGAGTTTAAATTGTTAAAAGTGCATGGGATAAAAAGTCTGTTTCTTTTCTCAGTCTGTCTGTCTCTGCCCCTGGGGTGTGGGGAGGGACTGGGTTTGCTGGCTCTTGTTGCAAGCTCTGTGGCGCAGCTGTTGAACAGTAGTAACCTGTCCTCTGAGGCCTTGGGTATGCCGGGCACCTCTTTCTGTAGGGCACCATTTCTGCTTGGAAAATGGACTGAATTACCAGTTGCTTAATGGGTAGAACGTTAGGAAAAGAGATGGCTTTCCTCAGGACACTCTTGTCATCACTGTGTCTGCAGCTGAAGGCAGGTGCTGGCACTAGGTCACAGCACACACACCACTGTTTTGCACCTGGCTTTTCCCCAGTTACCAGGTGTGTCCTGTAAGAACATTTCTTCTTAACAGCCGTTTTTGTCCATTGTGTGCACGGCTGGATCATGGTGATTCAACCAGGGCCCAGCTTAAGGGCCTCTGTTTCCTCTTTTTTATTATAAACAGTGCTAACCTGAGAGTCTGCTGACCCTGGAAATCCAACAGGTCTTTCGACCAAACCACTTTCAAACCCCAATGCTTAGAGCCAAGCCGTTTCCAACCCTGCATGGCTAGGGCTGGGCCCCGTTTCTAATCCTCTGGGGTTGGACCCGTTTCCGCCGCCTGATGGGGCTGGGAGCTCTAGGCCAACCCAGTTTCCCCCTCCAGCATTGCCTGAGCCCCAGGGAGCGACTGTCCGTTCACCCAGGCTGTCAGCCGCAGGTCCCCAGCCACGGCCAGGGAAGGATCGATCGCAGATGGCCTCTCAAAGAGGAGGAAGGCAGCTCAGCTACCCTAAAATTTTTTGTTTTTGAAACAAAGGTTCGTTCTGCTACCCAGGCTGGAGTGCAGTGGTGCGATCTCATCTCACTGCAACTTTCACATCCCGGGTTCAAGCAATTCTCCTGCCTCGGCCTCCCAGGTAACTGTGATTACAGGCACCCACCACCACTCCCGGCTAGTTTTTGTATTTTTAGTAGAGACGGGGTTTCACCATGTTGGCCAGGCTGGTCTCGAACCCCTGACCGCAGGTGATCCACCCGCCTAGGCTTCCTAAAGTGCTGGGATAACAGACATGAGCCGCCGCGCCCAGCTCTAAAAGTATTTTTAATTTAAACATTTTACACAGTTAATTTTTTATCTCAGTGACTGCTATTACACCAAGCGCGTGGGGACCCGGAACGCTCCTTGCTCGGGGACAGCCGCCGCCGCCTCAGTCTCCCCGCCGCGCTGCGCCCCGCCGGACAGTTCCGTGACACCCGCCATTGTGGCGCGAGCCAGTCCTGGCCCCGAGTCACGTGTCACCTGCATCCCCGCCCCGGATCACGTGCGGCCAGCCGGCGTGCCCGCCCCCGACTGCGTGCGACTCCTCGCGGGCCACCGTAGAAGGGCGTCCGGCGGAAGCCGGGAGGCGCTGCCGACCGCGCCTGCGACAGCGTCAGCCCTTCGCGGAACGCCGGCCCGATGGCGGCGGCGGCGGCGGCTATGGCCGAGCAGGAGAGCGCTCGGAATGGCGCCCGCAACCGGGGCGGAGTCCAGCGGGTGGAGGGCAAGCTGCGCGCCAGCGTCGAGAAGGGCGACTACTACGAGGCGCACCAGATGTACCGGACCCTGTTCTTCAGGTACTCGCGCCCGGCCCTCGCCGCGGCCCGGCGCCCGCCCCCGCCGCCTCCCATTGGCTGTGCCGCATCGCCCCGCGGCCCCATTGGCCAGCGCCGCTGCCCGTCGCGGGGGCCGAGCTGGAGTCCGGGGCCACGGGGTCGCCGGGCGGAGGGTTTGGCCTGCTCCTCGTGGGTCTGGCTCTTCCCGGCTTGGCCCCCAGCCCCCAGCCCCTCGGCCTCCAACTCCCGCCTCGGCTTCCCTCCCCATCCCCCGCGTCCCTCCCCGGCCTTCCCCTGCCCCTAGCCTCCACCTGTTCCCTCCTCCGGCCTCCCCCTACCCCCGGCCTCCCTCTTTCCTCGGCCGTCCCCCACCTCGGTCTCCACATGTTTCCCCGGAGGCTTCCCCTTCTCCCTCAGTCTCTCTCTCTTTCCGGGCTCCCCCTTCCCCCTCAGTCTCTCTCTCCCTGGGCTCTTTCTGCCCCCGTCTCTTTCTCCCCGGTCTCCCTCTGCCCCTCGTCTTCTCTCCCTGGCCTTTCCCTGCCCCCCGTCTCTCTCTCCCAGCCTCCCTCTCCTTCTCTCTCCTTGGCCACCCCCTTCCCCATCCGTATCTCTCTCCCTGGCCTCCCCCTGCCTCCCATCTCTCCCTCCTCCCCGGGGCTCTCCCCTGCCCCCACCCCCTCTCTCTCTCTCTCTCCGCAGCCTCCCCCTGCCTCTACCTGGTCTCTCTCCCCAGCCTCCCGCTGCCCTCCTCCCTTTTGGCCTCCATCTCCTGGTCTCCACCCTCTGGGCGTCCCTCACCTCTCCCGTGGCCTTTACCACTCTGCTTCCTTCCCCCGGGCCTTCACCTGCTCTCCACCCCCCTGCCTCCCTGTCCCAGACCTCCCTGCCCTCCAGCTGCACCCCCTACCTCCTCCACCCCTTCTGTGACCTCCGCCTGTTCCCTCCCTCTGGCCTTCCCAGGCTTTCACCTGTTCCCCCCACCTTCCTCTCTCAGGCCTCCCTTCCCGGCCTCCCCCTTCCCGCCCTCTGCCTCCACCTGTTCCCCACTCCCCCACCCTCTGCCTTCCTCCTCCCAGCCTTCAGATCGTCCAGCTGGGCCCTACATCATGCTCCACAGAGCTCCATAGGAAGTCACTGGTGTTCCACTCTCTGAGAGTCCAGGCTGAGGGTGAATCCGCTTCTCTGTTGTTGCCACCTCTGGACCTGAGCTAGGTGACACCTGCACAACCCGCCCGGTGCAGCCTGGAGGGTGTGTGGGGGCCGAGCTGGCTGTGCTGGGTCAAATGCATGGCCCTCAGAACTGTGACTGGAAGTTCCTGGGCGTTGTGTGGCTTGGTTGATTTTCTTCAGGACTGCTGTCGTACAGTTACTGCTAAAAGTCTCAGTTGTTCTGTGTGTGACATTCTGTAAATTACACATATCCCATGATCTCTTATGGTTGAGGTCAGGGAACGGTTTGGCCATTCACTAGAAATTGGGTCTGTTTTAAAGATGATATTTCAGAGGATTTAGTCTTTTCCATGGGGTACCTTTTACTTCTAAACTGCCACAGAATAGTGAATGTTTTGATATTGTATTTAAGAGCGGTTGGTCTGGCCTTTACACAGTTTAGGCCTGGATTTGTTTTGGTTTTCAGGGTTTTTTTCCTTTTAATAGACTTGACTTTCTTTTTTTCGAGACAGAGTCTTGCTCTGTCCTAGGCTGGAGTACAGTGGTGCAATCTCAACTCACTGCAACATCCACCTCCTGGATTCAATCGATCTCCTTCCTCAGCCTCTCGAGTTGCTGGAATTACAGGCTTACACCACCATGCCTGGCTAATTTTTGTATTTTTAGTAGAGACAGGGCTTCACCATGTTGGCCAGGCGGGTCTTGAACCCCTGACCTCGTGATCCGCCCACATTGGCCTCTCAGAGTGTTGGGATTACAGGCGTGAGCCATTGCACCCAGCCAGGCATGACTTTTTAGAGCAGTTTTTGGTTTGCAGCAAAATGAAGCTGAAAGGGCAGTGTCCTGAATCTCCCCTTGGACAGCCTCCCGCCCCACGGACACCTGTCCGGAGCAGAGCCCCTCAAGAACCCATCACCCACATCGGGGTTCACACTTGGTATGTGTGAGGATGAGGAGCCCCATCAGAGCATCACGCAATGCAGCTCTACTCCCAGAAGAGCCTCTGCTGGGCCTAGCTTTAAATCCTTTCTTTCCATAGCAAGCACATCGAATCGTTACCTGGAGAACTCTGGAGGTGCTACTTTGGTTATAGTTTGCTAGTTTGTTTGAATTAAATCACCGTCTGTTGTGCCCGACCTGTGCCTGGGTAGGCTGGTGGCCCGCGCACAGCAGCGCCGGGACACTTAACCCAAGCGAAGGTGGGCTCACCAGCCCCAGCCACGGAGGAGATACCATTTCGTTGCCGAAAACACTTGTTTGTGCCAGGAAATGAGAAAAGAGTGTTTGTGTCAGTGGTTGTCAATCTTAGCTGACCTGAATAGGCTGGGATGAGGCCCTGGCATCTGTTTTTAAGGAGTGTCCATGTTGTTTATACAGACCCTTTTGTACAGCCAGGGTTGAGACGGTGGGTGTGGGTCCCTGACTATCGGTTATGAGGAGACATCAGTCCCTGCTTTGAGCCTTACATGACCTGAAGGGCAGCCTTGTTTCCAGAATTTTCTATTAACCTCGACATTCTGTAAATACACGCCAGCCAGGCTACATCTCGTTTTATTATGTTGTAGATGCTTTCTTTTTTGAAAACTGAGCTGTTTAATTTAGAAAGAGGTCCGCTTTTCTGCTTAGATGGAAACTAATTTTATCTCTGACAGAAACAAGTCTTTAATGCGAGACATTTATAGTGATGCGGTTTTAATGCTGGTTGAATTTGTCATTGAACATTTAGCAACTCGCAAATGGCACGGGTTGTGATAGCACCCTAAACCTGATTGTTCTTCAGGGATCGAGGTGAAGGTGTCAGTCGGTACTAAATGGTGGAATGTGAACCTCCCAGTGGGTAGAGGGCCTGTCACAGATCTGTATGATGTTGTTCAAGATTCACTCTGGTGCCTGCTGTTCCTAGGGATTTGTATATAAATATTTGTCCGATGATTAACCAGCAACAGTGGATCTCCCCCAAATTAACCAGTGTTCCTTGTTTTAAGCCACTTCACTTGTACAGTGATGAGGGATTGGATTGCCAGTTTAGGTCCTCAGTGAGGAGTCCCTGGTCAAGGGTGTATTTCACAGTGAAACGGGCGGTGATGAGCGAGTTCTGCGCCCTTAAGCCCTCTGGACTGCAGGCCTTGCTGGCCGACTGTGATGTCGTAAGGGTCACCTGGCAGGGGCATGGTGTGGCTTAGCACAGAAAGCCTGGGCATTGGGGCCACATGCCACCTCTTATGGGGCCCAGGACATTACTAAACCTCTCGAGCCTTAGCTTGGAGCCTTTCAAGCCAGGAATGAAGACAGTCAGCAGTGGCAGCTGTTACCTCACTGTCACCCACTGAGACACCGCCCTTGTCTTTCCAGCATAGAATTCCATGTGGATTCCCAGCACTGTTTCAGAGCACTCCATGGGTGTGTCACTTCCAGAGAAGTCACATTCCCCAAGTTAAACTTTTAGTTTTTTGAGACAGAGTCTTGCTCTGTCACCTAGGCTGGAGTGCAGTGGTACGATCTCCACTCACTGCAGCCTCCACCGCCTCCTGGGTTCAAGCAATTCTTGTGCCTCAGCCTCATGAGTAGCTGGGACTACAGGCACCCACCACCGTGCCTGACCAATTTTTGTGTTTATTGTAGACACCGGGTTTCACCATGTTGGCCAGGCTGGTCTGGAACTCCTGACCTCAGGTAATTCACCAGCCTTGGCCTCCCAAAGTGCTAGGATTATAGGCATAAGACACTGGCCTCCCTAAGTGCTGGGATTACAGGTGGGAGGCCTAGTACTCTGCCATTTTAAAAAATGCTCTTCTGTCAACAAACATATATAATTGGATATTTACATTGAAATATTTATGGTGAGGTCTGACATGAGTGAACTGTGAGCAGTCAAGACATTGAAGATACCCATGGCCCTGCAGGGCTCTTGCCTGCCCTGCGACCGGGCCTCCTCACCCTCCCCCCGGCACCCACACATCTACGGGCTGCCCTTAGGTGAGGTGGCGTTTCCTGGAATTTAAAACACGTGGAATCACAGTACGCTTGAATTCACTTACCATGGTGGCCAGGACCCTCCCCCGGGAGTGTCTGCAGGTCCTTGTGTTGCTGAGTGGTTTCCCTGTGTGTCTCTAGCACTATTCGTTTATCCCTCAGCTGTCAGGTAAATTTATCAGAAGATACTCTGTGTTGGTTTATTGTTAAATGTTCTGACATTGTTACCTAGGTAAACTGGTGACTCGGGTTTCGTGTACAGATGATTTCAGCACTGGGTACTAAGCATTGGTACATGGCAGTTTTGTTAAAAATTTTTTCTGAGCCTCCCAGTGTGTGTTGCTGCCCTCTTTCTGTCCCTGCGTTCTCATCATTTAACTCCCACTTAGAAGTGAGGACATGTAGTATAGGGTTTCTGTTCCTGCGTTAGTTTGCTGAGGATAATGACCTCTGGCTCCCTCCAGGTTCCTGCAAAGGGTGTGCTCTTGTTCCTTTTTTCTGGCTCGATAGTATTCCACGGTGTAGTTGTACCACATTTTCTGTATCCATCTGCTGCTGACAGGCCCCCACATTGATTCCATGTCTGCTGTCGTGAGTGGTGCTGCAGTGAGCATTTGAGTGCATGCGTCTTTATGGCAGAACCATTTAGAGTCCTCTGAGTAGATAGCCAGGAGTGGGACTGCTGAGTTGAATGGTAGTTTCATTTTCAGTTCTTTGAAGAATTGCCACATTGCTTTCCACCATGGTTGTACTAATTTACACTCCCACCAACAGTGTATAAGTGTTTCCAAGAGGTACTGTTTTAGCTCAGAGCCATAGTTTAAGGTGAAGGAGAGGGAAGGAATTGGGCAGCCCAGCAGGTTGGTGTCCCAGGGTATGTGTCCCACAGAAGTTGGGCAGCAGTTCCTGATTGCCTGGCTACACTAGAGAGTGGCTGACCCTGTCCTGTGGATGGCGCTGGTCATGATCATCACCTGGTATCTCCAGCCTTCTCTCTGCTGGGGCGAGACGTCAGCTCCCAGGCCGATCGGATGATTAGTGCGCTTCAGAACCACTGTGCAGGCCTGGAGGGGCCTCAGTCTTGGCTGCAGTATTTGTAGATTCACTTTTAGAAACTTGATGTGGTTGAGACCACAGCCCGGGAGGCAGTGACCTGCAGCAGCCACCCACCTGTCGTCTGCCCTCATCATGGTGGGTCTGGGTCCTCCTGCCATGTGGTTCCTCCTGCAATGTGTTTGAGTGACTTTTTAATTTCGGCCCCTGACCTTCTGTCTCTTCAGTCAGCTAAAGAAATTTTAAAAGAAAATGGTATACAGTGTGTGCTGTGCACACCTTAGCCCAGGGCCGAAGAGGAGCGTCTTGCAAAGGAGCTGTTTGCCAGCTCAAGTCCCCTCTAGAGGGACTCTTGCCAGAGCAGAGCAGGCCTCAGCCCTCCCCAAAGGAGGCCTCAGCCAGCCCCCACGTCAGGGCATGGGAGCACTTCAGTTCACGGTGGTCGGCACAGGGTTCCTTGTGAAATCTGCACTGGCTCCCTGTCCCGAGGCACCTGCGTGTGTCTTCAGTACTTTGTCTTCGCCCTCCGTGCGTCCCTGACCGCTGAACACACGAGCCAGCTTCCATCCGGTGAGAGCGAAGGGTGGGATTCATCCCATGAGCTCGGCCTTTCTTCATTTGACACCAGCAGTTTCTGTCACTAGTTCTGATGCTCACTTTCCTGTGTGTTCTACTTTTTAATGTTTTTATAAGAGAAGAGCAAAGTCAGCTAGATTATTTGCCCAGACACCTTGCTCTGTGGATACAGATGCTTTGGCTGGCAGAGAGTGCCCACGCTCACCGGCTCTCAAAGGCTCTGTCAGCAGGCGGAAGCCATTTCCCCATATGGAGGATGCATCTGGTTGTCCACACTGCATGGCCAACAGTGCACAGCATGCAGAGCCGAGCCGGGAGGATGGCAGGAGAAGGCCTGGCTATGCCCAGCTGCCCTCCAGTCTCCCCGGCCTTATGCCTGAGAGGGCACCCATCCCAGCTTAGTCACCTGGAAACCAGAGTCCTTTGTACCTTCTGGAATTCTCCAGTGTCGGAGGAAGCTGTCCATGTTCAGAGCCTCCTTAGATGGTTTGCCCGTCATTGGCATTCCTGGACCTGGAAATGGGCAGCCCCAGCCAGGCCAGTGGCCACTGTGTGCCCAGAAGTCCCCCTCCAGTCCTTCCTTCCTCGCCTGGCTCACGGCTACCCTGGGAAGAAGGGAGCCGGCCACAAGGTGCAGTCCAGGCTGGGCCGAAGGCCGTGACCATCGGCATGCCCCCAGAGCCAGGGTCCTTGTGCAGGAATGTGGGTTACTGCCTTCCAGGGAGTTCTTCGTCTGGTTTCTAACAGGCCACCTCTTGCTCTACCTCAGATAGAAGCATCTAGAACCCTGTCTTATTGGCATAAGCAGAAGCTGGTGTGGTGTTTGCTCAGGGTTGCTGCATGCAGCTCTGCCTGTGGCCCTGCCGGCGGCAGCGTGAGGCCAGGTGTGTGTGGAGCTTGTTTTTCCAGAGTGCCCTGTGCAGGCGGCTCCCGGCCTCCTCTGCTAGTCAGTCACGGCCCTGCAGGACTGGAACCGGGCTGGCAAGTCACAGAGTCAGCGGCCTTGTCACGGCTCTGAACTGCTGTGGTCTCAGGGTGGGTCTCCATCTAGAACCTTCACAGTGCAGTGGACTGTGGGCTGACAGGGGTGGGAGGCTTTTTCTCTGGGGTTCAGACCTTTCCCTCCTGCTGCCCTGCCTCTGCAGCCCGATGGGGTCTCCTGTGGGGGAGGCCTGGGTGTGGCAGCGCTGGCTGTGTTTGGGATCCCTGGCTGTGGTGCCTTCTGAAGAGGAACCCTTTCCTGTGGTTAACTCAGCAGCCAGCCCACCCTGGCGACACCAAGGTCGTATTCCAGCCCTCAGCAGTGTAGCTGTGTCTCTTTATCGCCTGCACTGCAAGTTTTTCTTTTTTTTGAGATGGTGTCTCGCTCTGTCATCCAGGCTGGAGTGCAGTGTTGCAAACACGGCTCACAGCAGCCTCAACCATCTGGTCTCAAGCAGTCCTCCCATCTCAGCCTCCCCAGTAGCTGGGACAACAGGTGCATGCCACCATGCCCAGCTAATTTTTGTGTTTTTTTGCAGAGACATGGTCTTGCTATGTTGCCCAGGCCAGTCTCAAACTCATGGGCTCAAGCGATCCTTCCACCTCAGCCTCCCTAAGTGCTGAGATTACAGGTGTGAGCCACCATGCCTGGTCTGCACTACTGTTTACTTAATATTTTTGTTTAACTCGATTTTTTTTTGTTGTTTTGAGACAGAGTCTCACTCTTGTCGCCCACGCTGGAGTCTAGTGTTGTGAACTCGGCACACTGCAACTTCCACCTCCTGTGTTCTAGCAGTGCTTCTGCTTCAGTCTCCCGAGTAGCTGGGATTACAGACATGTGCCGCCATGCCGAGCTAATCTTCTGTATTTTAGTACAGTTGGGATTTCACCATGTGGCCCAGGCCAGTCTCGAACTCCTGAGCTCAGGCAGTCCGCCTGCCTCAGCCTCCCAAAGTGCTGGGATTACAGGCGTGAGCCACTGCGCCTGGCCTTTAACTCGGTTTATTGTTAAACATGGCTTTGTCCAAGGACTTTTGGCTTGCAGGCACAGAGCTGATTAACTGGTTATGTGTTTTTTGATAATAAGGTCGTGATGATTAAGAGAAATTTATAGCCAGTTAAATAAGGTTCCTGGGCGACACCAGTGGACCTGTGAGGTGTGGCGTGTCCCAGCAGAGGCCACCTCCTGCCCTCCACGCCTGCTGTTCTTGCAGGCAGGGGCTCTGCTGCTCAGAGCAGCACAGCCATGTCAGCTTCTCTCCGCATTGTCTGTAGCACGCTGGTGTCCCCCCCCCCCCAACGCCTCTCACTGCCCCGTGCCTGTCTCTGTGCAGCCCGAGAAGCCCTGGCTTTCTTCGCCGACTGTGCTCTGGGAGTGAGGACATGATGCGTGGCGAGCATGTTGCAGCAGTGCACCCCAGACCCTTCCCTCCTGTGGGAGGAGGAGTGCGGCATGCAGAGGGGGAGGGCAGGGACACTTGCCCTGTGGGGAAAGAAGGTGCTGTCACAGCCTGTACTATCCCCATTGGGACCCTAGCCTGGAGCCCCCCATCCTGTGGCCCCTCAGCTCTCATGTGGCCCCGCGCCCATCCTCTGCTCCTTCCCGGCACACCTGCCCTGCCCAGCAGCCTTTCTGGTCCCAGCTGCTGACACCAGTGAGCTGCTCCAGGGTGGGGCTGCTTTCTGGCTCCTGGCCTATTCCTATTTGGACACAGATGGGTTCTTAGCATCCAAAGGCTCCCCATGCAGCCATGGTCAGCAGGGCGCCCAGGACAGACCCCCCCTCAACTCCATGCAGCGCCTGGGCCTTGGGAGCGGCTGCCTTCTTCCTGGTGAAAGGTGTCTATGTGTATGGGGAGCACCCACTTTTATGATACCGCCTGTTTCTGGGCACCTTGTCTTTAGCTTCTGACCTGAAGATGAGCACGGGTTCGCGGTGGCGAGTGTGCGTGTGTGCGCGGCTCACAATCTTCTCTCTGTGGCAGGTACATGTCCCAGAGCAAGCATGCGGAGGCACGGGAGCTCATGTACTCAGGAGCCCTGCTGTTCTTCAGCCACGGCCAGGTAAAGACCAGGAGCAAGACCATGGCCACGGTCTTGCTCCCTCCTGCGTCCCTTCCTGCTCCTGGCAGGCGAGTTGAGGTGGGAATGACGTGGGAGAAGCCTGATGGGCTGCCCTGGCCACTGGGGCTGCAGGTGGCAGAGGGGCCCAGAGTCCCCAGCCTCGGCTGCTCCACTCGCAGGCTGGGGCTCTGTGCTGCGTTTGTGCATGTCGGGGCTGAGTGGGCATTGTTTTGGTATAAGCGGCCCTATCCGTTTTCATTTGATCCTCGGCCAGGAGTTCTCCGTTTTTCAGCAGCATTGCCAAGGATATGTGCTCAGAATAGACTCCTCAGCCCTGGCCGCACTCTGGCTTCTGTGCGCGCTTTGGCTTCTGCTGGAAACCCAGCCTTGTCTTTTCTGTCCTGAACAGGTCCCAGCTTTGTACTTGATTTTGGTGTGTTTCTCTGTTTTGTAGCAAAACAGCGCTGCAGACTTGTCCATGCTGGTCCTGGAGTCCCTGGAGAAGGCAGAAGTGGAGGTGGCCGACGAGCTGCTGGGTGAGCATCTGGCCTTCACCCTCGGGCCCTGTGACAGCGGACCCAACACGCCTCTCCCTGGTCCTCTGTGCTGCGTTTTTCTGTGAGCTCTGGGGTTAACTCTGCTGCAGAGGCGATTCCCGCCTGGTCCCAGTGAGCCAGGTCCCCTGGCTGACCCTGGCCCGAGCATACTGCAGGCTGAGCAGCACTTGCTGTGACTTGTAGGCAGGGTATGACCTGTGTCTTGTCCTCTCCACCGTGCCAACGGACAGCGGCCTCCCCGCCAGCCTGCAAGGTGGGGCACCATTTTGTCCAGGGATTTGGCTTGTTGGCCTGTCCCGCCAGGTTGAGTGTGCAGTCGGCAAAGCCCTTCTGTAAGCTGCCTGGGTCTGAGTCCCACTCCTGGTCCCTGCTGCTCTGGGAGAGGCCCCTGGGCCAGAGCCAGGTACCCAGAGCAGCCACAGCTATTCCTGGGCTCCAGCTCCCCATGGAGCCTTCCCCAGCCCCTGCCTCCGCCAAGACATCCATCCTTCCTCACCGTGCTCTGGGGCACGTGTCACTGGCACTGCAGTGGGCAAGTCGGTGGGGTGGCCCACAGGTCACTCAGGGATGCCACCAGCTTCCTCTTCCTGTTAAGTATTTGCATATTGAAATCCACTTGTGTAAGGCATGTGGTCCAGAGAGCCGGAGTTACCATGCATTCTTCTGATGAGGGTCTATGCTGTTTGCAGAAAATCTGGCTAAAGTGTTCAGCCTGATGGACCCCAACTCTCCTGAGCGTGTGGCCTTTGTGTCCAGAGCCCTGAAGTGGTCCAGCGGGGGCTCCGGGAAGCTGGGCCACCCCCGGCTACACCAGCTGCTGGCCCTCACCTTGTGGAAAGGTAGGCCTGGGGACAGGGCAGGCGGGGGGTGCCGCTGTGCTCTCACGGTGTTGATTTGCGCTGTGCGTTCCAATCCATCGGGGTTGCCCACCAGGGTGGTCGGGGTTTCACCCTGTGGTCACGTGGGCCTCTCCAGGCCTTCCCATGGGACGCTCTGACCCTCAGGGAGGCAGCTGCACCCTCACAGGGCCTATGTGTGCTGCTCCACGGATCTCATCTTCTGATGAAGCTGCTGGGGGATTCATCTCCTGTGGGGTCTGGCTGTCTGCACAGTGTTCTTAGTGCCAGTGTTCTTAGTTCCACGTCTGCGACTCTGAGGCAGGAGTGGTTATGGGTGAAACCCATTCAGTGAGTTGAATGAGGTGCTTGTCGGGGTTTAGAAGCGTCCTCCCCAGAGCATTCCCTGGGAAACAGGGTTGCAAGTGGCCCCAGCACCGTGAGACAGTTTTCTTCCACTGCCGGCAGGCCTGCTCAGGTCTGCATGTGCCTGGGCTTGGCAGGTGGGGAGGTGGCACCCAGGGCAGCCCCTGCGATGGAAGCTCTAGGAACTTGGAGGTCTAGGCTAAAGGCCTTTGCTCTAGAGGTCAGGGCTGCTGAGCTTTGAACAGCTCCTCCTGGACACGGCTGTCTAGCATGGTGGCAGCTGCATGAGGGCTCTTGTGCTCTGCCCACGTCAGCAGCCCTGCAATGCACGCCCATCCCACCTCATCCCTGGTCACGCAGGTTCCACCTGGGGTGAATGGGAGGCTCATCACCCTCGGGCACCTAGCAGGCATTTTCAACCTTCTCCCCCACGCGACAGGAAGGGGAAGTGAGCAGATCCAGGTAGAGTTAGGAGACTACAACGTTTAGGGAGGCTCGTCTCAGAGGAGCCTGGCGAAACCACCCCTGGCTTTGTGCCAAGCAGAGGGACAGCCACAGGGATATGAGCCTACCTCGCCTCGGTCTCCCCATGGTCACCTCCTTCCCAGAAGGGGCTGGCACAGGTCGGTGCCTCATGGCCCCTGGAGTGCACCTGCTGCTACCTCCCCTGGCCTTTGCCGACAGCCAGCCTCCCGTGCACCACCTGTGCCCGGGCCAGCACGCCTCCACACGGAACATGGCTGCAGGCAACCCTACTCGGTCCTGCGTGGTGAGCCGCTGCTCTCTGTGGGCCCCAATGCCAGGTTGGGGAGGGAAGAGCTGCCTGCACACCTGCCCAGGAGTGTCACCTGCCTTTGGGATGAATTAGGGATGCTTGCGTCAACACTGTGTGGCTGCCCTCACCACTCCTTTGCATGGGCTCTGTGGGCAGATCCAGGCAGTGAGTGGGTGGATGGGGTGGGTGGCACCCATGCTCAGTGCCCAGGAGACCTGTGTGGCAGCTCCTAAGACAGGCACAAGCAATAGTAAGGAGGGACATATGTGTCTGCCAGGATCCCTGCCCACCATGGGGTAGGTGGGGGCTGTCCAGGGCGCGTGTAGGAGGGCTGTGCTCGGCGCCTCTGCTGAGACCCCCTGAAGAAGAGCCCTGGCTGCCTCCCAGGCCCAGGTCCCCGACACCATGACGGTGCTGTGGGGCATTGCCAAACCTCACCCCGGGAGCCCAGGCCTTGTCCACGCTGAGGTGGCTGCTCACGGCCTCTGCGGTCCTGAGCATAGACTCCATGCAGGACCTGTGGGCTCAACAGCACAACCTTCCTTGGTACTTCTCTCCCGGGGAAGAAATAATGCCCACAGATAAAGGCTTGGGGATGCAGGGAGACGACAGGAGAGAAAGCAAAGTGATGGTGATGCTGGCAGCCACACAGGCAGCAGGAGGGCCCTGGAGGCTGCTGTTGAAAAAGGGCGCCCTAGGTGGAAGGGGTGGGGTGTGCTGCAGAGATAGGCACCACGGGAAGGGTGGGGCTCCCAAGGCAGGCGAGGGGCCTGAGAGTGAGGGTGAGCAGGTGTTAGGGTGGGTCTGGGAGTGGAATGAGTGTGAGCAGTTGTTAGGGTGGGGCCTGGGAGTGGAGTAAGTGTGAGCAGGTGTTAGGGTGGGCCTGAGAGTGGAGTGAGTGTGAG